ATAACTTTTCTAGAGATCTGTACTAAATTTAATGGTGATCCTTTGGGGTCCTACATACATGGGTGTGGGAGGGTCTCATAGGATCATTACTCTAGATTATTTGTTGTCTGACAATTTCCTTCACTTTATTCAAAATAATTTGATGGAAATCATTTTTTACTAGAAATTACTAAAGATGATTAAAAATCACTTAAAAAGATAAATAACATTAAGTAATATTATATATAGGGTGTGGTCCAAAAAATTAATTAAACGCATGAAAACCTTGAAAATGGATGTTTCAGATAATGTGTTGCAAGATTCACTACTTTTAGAACTTGAAATTTATTTTTTCCTTCATATCTATACATTTTGATATCGAGATGATCAATTGAAAATTTTTCCAACATCCTTTTCGAAGGATTTTAGAGGTGCACCTTAATAACATTTTAAGGTGTCTAAATTTTTTAAATATAACATGAAATATGTATAAAACAACTAAAAAATAATATTATGCGAAGTACATTAATTTTAGATAAGATAGTTTACTCTCGATAAAATTACCTGTCATCTAGGTATGGCTGTATTATATACCATTCTCCCTCCCTTTTTTTTTTTGTTGACGTTAAAATTGAAAGGTCGATCCTTTTATTATCTAAATATTTCGAGTTTTCACGCCAACTCCACTCTTATTATTGTGTACATTCTCTTCATAAGGGATAGTATATTTTAAGATTATTTATTTTTCTTCCAACTAAGTCACCTTCATCCGTAGATAGGGTTGAGAATGGGTTGGATCGGGTCCAGATCCACCAGGATCTGGATTCGGATAAAAAAAGTATGCACAGGATCCGGATACGATTAATCTGGATTGAATAGTATTCTTGGGATCGGATCCGATTTTGGATCTAGATCGGATCCAAAAAATTATGTTATATCTATATAACATATATGTATACATGAAATAAATATAATAGATCAATAACCGGGTCGGATCCATATTAGATCCACCTATATCTAGATCTGATCTGAAATACTATTCAGATCCAAATTTGGATCCAAATTTAACCTGTCAAATCCAAATTTTGGATCCATACCCAGATTTGGATAGGATTTGAAATTCAAGTTTCAAATCCAAACCGAGTAAATTCTCAACCCTATATATAATCATTAAATTTGAATTTATTTACAAGAATTGTGTCACAAAATTTCAAAATTCTCTTGAGACTTCAAACCGCCCAATAACATATCCCAAACCACCCAATTTCTCGTGTAGGCCGAGTTAAAAGCCGTTCTGTCCATTTCCCTTATTGGGCTGGGGCAAGTGGTTTTATGGTCTTGTGTAGTTAATTGATATAAGAGCAACGTGTTTGATTTCATTTCTTTCTATATTCAATCAATAAAGACCTCGGTCATTGTCATGGAATATGCGGTATGTCTTTCAATTTCAATTAAAATAAAAATCAAGTATTATAGTGGGGACTTTGAATTGATTAATATAATGGATATTATGTAATATGGTATATGGTCATGTACTACTAAGTCAAGGCAATTAAAAAACGAGGCCAATAGTACTTGGATATGGAATCATATTGGACCAATTTACAATTGTTTTCTGACAAAATGGATTCGGAGAATCTTGTCTTTTCAGCCATATACAAACTAAACAACCCGCCTTTGGTTCACATATAGCCATTTCTTTGTTTAAAATATTTCTTTTCACACTAATAACGTGTAAATTTCAATTAAACTTGAATTAAATGTAGATCAATTTCAAACCAAATGACTGAATTTTGCTGAAGAAAACAGTAGGTTTTGCAGTGAAGGTGAACAACCTCAAGGTTCAACAAGATTTTGAAGCCAAAGTCAGCTAAACTTGTGATTTACAGTAACCAATAAAAGCAAAAAAGTGACAAAATGGTCTACCCAAAAACCCACTAAAATTAGCTTCTCTACCAAACTTATCAAGGAACAGAATGATATTATTACCAGTGAATATGACACTTCCCTTCCCTTTCACCCCACCACCACATTCCTTTTATATATTTTTTTAATGTTTTATTTGACTTTTTGCTTTTGGTTGTTGACTGAATCTGGGTCCTCGTAAATCTCCTCTAAATATGGAGGCAGAGAACCAAGCAACTGTCACCAGATTTAGAGGAAGATTTGGAGGTGCCTTTGCCACTGAGGTCTCACATGGCTCTCACTGTGCATGCCCAACTTTCTATCAATCCCTCTTTTTTATCCATCTCTAGGACAAATACAAAAAACCCAACAAGCCCCATATACCATTTGAACCTTCTAAGAGTAACCCATTCAATCACCATTACTGCAACTCCTTCTTCAATGTCTTCTAGGGTTTTGTCAGTGAAGTCCTCTCTCATTGAACCAGATGGTGGGTCTCTGATAAATTTGGTGGTGCCTGACAGTGAGAGGCTTTCAAGGGAGAGAGAGGCTTCAGAACTGCCTCATGTGAAGCTGACCCAGATTGATTTGGAGTGGGTTCATGTGATAAGTGAGGGTTGGGCAAGCCCTTTGAAGGGTTTTATGAGAGAAGATGAGTATTTACAGAGCCTGCATTTTAATTCTATGAGGTTGAAAGATGGGTCAGTTGTGAACATGTCGTTGCCCATTGTTTTGGTCATTGATGATGAGCAGAAAGCGAAAATCGGGGGTTCATCTGATGTGGGATTGATTGGGCCTAGTGGTGACCCAGTTGGTGTTCTTAAAGGGTCAGAATTTGATCTATTTATATGTTTATTTTGTTTATCTAAATTACATCTAGTTCATTTTTTCACTAATTTGATCGCTTTATTGTGTATTATTTGCTCATGTTTACTTTTATTTTTTGTTATTTTGTTATTCTGATTTGTTTATGGTTCAATTAAGGGTGCTCTGATGTGGACTGATCTGAAGGTGTTTTGTTGCTTGTTTGTTGTGAAAACCTTTTGTTTTCTTATTTTATATTATTGGAAAAATATCTATGCTTCGAATGGTGTTGGTCCTACTGACCGTGAACGGATTGGCCTCTGGCCTTTGGGCACATTGGAACCGCATGAGTTCACCGGGTGGAGCACGGTCCGCCAAAATCAGCATGGGTTAGGTGCTAAAGTCTCAAGAGAGTGGCATTGGAGCGATTTGGATTTTGACAAGTAGTTGATGAGCACCAACCAAAGAGAAAAAGGCTAAGTAGTTGCTATATTGATTTATGATGCTGTTGGTTGGTTGGCAAGATACTTAATAATCGCTCGATTCCTTTGATATCTTAATGTAATCACTTGTTTAGTTGGCTAAGGTTCAACCCAAGGTTATGTTACTTTGCATGGATACATAGGCAAGTGTCTAACACGGATACGAGTATAAGAGACACCAGCCTTGAAATCAGACAGGTGTGACACATCCACAAATCATTTAAAGAAGGGTGGAGGGGGGACTTTATGTGAAACTGAGTATTTTCCGGTGAAATTTTAAGAAATGTTAAAGAAGTGTCTAGGTTTCTAAATTGTCAAACACATGTGTCATATCCTTGGTGTGTTGGCACAGGCAAGAAACCATGGTCATGCTTGTCCATGTTATGTAACCTCAAGGTGGGATATGGGATTGGGTTAAAGGGATTATAACTTGGAATTTGAAGTTAATGTTTGGTGATTTTGGAGATTGGTTACGAGTTAATATTTGTCGAGGAGGGATACAGTGGTTGCAGGTATTCCTCAGAGAATTGGAGGAAGTGTAAGGGGTTGTGGACATGGAGAGCTTGTCAAGCAATTGATTTGGGTTGAATGTGGAGCATAGGGTAAGCTTTGGATATTGATTATTGATTTGGTGGGTGGACATGGCCTTCCTGGCAATCTTTGGATGGTCTTTATGATCTCTCTCGACAAAGTCTTCGTGAAAATCATTATTTTCTTGTCATTGTAGGTTATGTGTTGTGGGGGATGCCTCTTATGGTGGAATTGAAGTTTTTTGATATAACGAGATGCCCGTTATGGTGGAATTGAATGGTTGCTATTTTGAGTGTTTCCTTGCATTCATGAGTTTCATTTAGGGGGGCTATATCTTGGGTAGGCAAGTAAGAGACACATTTGATGAGTCATTGTGAGAACTGTTATGCTCCTGATCTGCAGCTTGCTAGCAAAGTTTGGCTGTTTATTGTTCCCTTAGGATCTGACCCAGCTTTCTAGTTGATCCTGTATATGTAGGGAGGGGGGAACTTCATGTACTTGTGTTAGCACAATAAATTTGCAACTTTTCTGTGGAACTTCTTCATCATATGCATTAGATAGTCATTGGGTAAAATGTAGAGGCTCTAGCAGGTTAGAAATGCAGGGGCTAAATGAGTTGAATGTGAATTTGCAGTGCTTAAGATTGGCATGTATTTGTGATATGCTATAAAATTAAAGCATGTTGAGTATATTTGTCCTAACCCAAATACTCACCACACTTAACAAGAATCTCATAGTTGTCCTAATGTACAAGATTTCTGTTAGGACAGGGTTCCTATTAAAATCTAAGGAATCCAAAGTTTTAAAAACGTCTTTAAATAGTTAACAAACTCTTGATAGCCTAAGAGATTAGGAATTCAAATAGAATTCGATTTACCTAAAGGGTAGGACTTCTATATATTTGATAATCTCGAGAAATTAAGACTTCAATAGAATTCAATTTTCCTAAAGTCTGCAACTTCTATAAATCTTGATAAGCGTAAGAAATTAGGACTCCAGTAGAAGTTGATTTTTTTGATGTCTAAAAGTTCTAATTATAAATCCATTTTCCTACTTAAAGTCTAGATGAGCCTCCCTCCCTCCCTCCTGCTCTCTCTCTCCCTAGAACACACACATGCACATACACTGCCCCGTAATTGCCCAGGTCAACAACAGGTTGATGTTTAAGAGGAAGTGGAAATAGATGCCAAATACCGTATCATTTTGTTTAATTATGTGTGAAACAATTTTATGGTTTTTCTTTTTTGGTGAAGTTTGATTTAGTTGATTCATTTCGTAATGAGCAATCATTGTGGGACCAACTCGAATAACAGATGGGTTTATAGCATTAAAAGTTATCTTGTAAGTTTCCATGTTGCAAACTGGCATGCAATCAGTGATTTCTTTTTACTTTCTTTGCTTTTGAGGATTTGACATGCAATCATTGTTTGCATGAACATATCCTTGTCTATGTGGCATGAGAAACGTATGCGTTGTTTTTAACCAGTGATAGCCGATGAGGAATTATGCATCTACGTGGAATGTAGAAGAACTCTCTGATGATTTGCAGTATCATCAGCTGCACACATGTGAGGGCCTATACGTTGTGCAATGTGACCCATAGAAAATAAATACCATGCCATGTAACATGTATCTTCAGCTCTTGCTTGTGAGTGGAAATGGAAATGAGGAAGGGAGCCATCTGCTATGTCTTGCCTATGGTGGGAATTTATCCATAATTGTATCAGGACCAATGTGGAAATATAGTGCCCTATCATGTTTTGGATTATTAATGAGGATGACTTGGGAAATACTCCTACGGTAAGGGTGCTACTGAAGTCAAGGCAGGGTCTGCTCCTAGGTCCTGTCCTTCTCACTATTGCAATACAACACTGGGTGTTGATGTTGAGAACGAAAAACAAATAATTTTGTACAGAGCGAGGTGCTTCCAGCAAGAGAAGAAGAATAATTTGTGGAAGCATCTGCCTCAGTAAGTTTGAAATAATGAAGGCTACAACTGCAAGTAGCTTGTATGACTAAGCTTGGTTTCTGCACTTGAGTATGGAGTTCTTTTTCCCTTTGAGATGTTTCTTTACCAATCTTCTCAGTTGTTTTTTTTTTGTGCAACTCAATATTTACTTGTAAAGAACCTTCTCACATTCTTGCCTCTGAAGCAAATGTAAAGTGAAACCTACTTGCTGTGTTTGTAGCCATAACCTATAAGAATTGATGTGAGCAGCATAATAGGTTTTCCATTTACCTAAAATATTGTTGTTAGTGGGGTAGAAAATTGGGGAAAATTTTGTTAACAGCTTCCTAGGTTCTAGCTTGACTTCCAAAATAAGTTGAAAATAATAGAGTAGATTCCTCTTCTGTCTTACGCACTTATAGTCTAATTTGTATTATTTAGGGAGATAGGATACATTGTGAGTTCGTGTCATTAGTTTGGCTGCCCCTGTCTGCCAGCTTTTGTCTGGGATCTGATCTCTGCTGCAAATACACATAAATTAGTATCTTTACACATATAAGAAGCTTTACACATATAAGAAGCTTACAATCCCCATAATGCATTAGATGATAATTTTGACTGACATAGCAATCTCTGCATTCAGAAAATTTAGTCTTATCTGAAAATGATTCTATTTCATTTACAGGAATTCGGTTGTGCACCATAATGGCACATTTGCCCAGTCAAATGGATAATCCTTGTAACTGCTCTGTGGGGAGTGATGTTTATTTAACGTGTAAAAAGTGGTTGCTAGCTTTACATGATTAGGACTTAAAAGAATGTTCTATGTATTGAACTTCATATATCTGTGAAAAGATTATAGCATGCACCATCAAGTAATAACACTTCTGGTTTAGGTATATTAAAACTCCCAGATATTTACATAGTAAAAATAGGAATCTAGTTCAGGAAAATAATGATTTCATGATTCAAGGTACTTTCTCTCATTGCCTTCAACCAATGCTTGAAACTTTTTTATTTTTAATTTTTTTTCATAAGTAGGCTTCATTTGGGAATAATGATTCTAAAAAATGCGGATTTGGATTGGGAATTGCCAATCCGGATAGGGAATGGGAATCAGTGGGGACTGATCTGGTTCCTAGTTGGAAGCAGAAATCCGTCCAATTTTAATAAATTCACCTGGTTCTATGATAGAATCGGGAGAGGCTGTCACTGAACCGAGCGATCTAGATCGGCCAAATCGCTTGATTCCTACCCATTATATTCTTATTATTTTTGAATTTTAAAATTTTCAATTCTAAAATATTATTTGAAACATTTTTTTGACCGATTCCCACATTTGAGACACGGTCTGATCGAGCCTGGATTGGTGTAATGGTGGACTGGTCCGGGTTTTAAAACACTGTTTGGGAAAGATTCTAGAATGGGTTTGGCACCATATCAGTGAGATGGTGTTGGCCGTCAATAGGTATTGGTTTTCCATACCCCACCTCATTCATGTATTTGGAAAGGGGTCCCAACCCCTTTCCAAATATTGTTGGAAACTTATGTGTTCATGATGATCCAGGACATTATATTTTGGTAAATTTCCCTATATCAGTTTATGGACATGACTGGGATTTGATTGTTAGAGAGTGGTAATAGCACGAGTCATTTATAATTTGGTCTAAATTTCCTCCATGGGTTTATGAAATCTGGAATAATGTTCTATTAAAATAGTATTTTGTGAGACTTGTTTTTGCAATCATTATCCTACAAGGGACAAATTTTGTCCCTTCCGTTTTGTGAAATTCAGATCTTAAATTGATTGATTTGATCTGTATTCTAGCTGAGTTTTTGTACTAATTCTATTCTATTTTTTTTCTTCCCAGTTTGTCCATTTTTTGTTTTAAGCCTGGACCTTTGGCCAAAACTGGATCTGAAATTTAAACTATTAAATGTTAATTTGGGCTAATTTGATTTTCTTTCTGTTTTTCTTTATTTAGTTTTTCTTTCTTTCATATATACATGCCAGCATGCTTGATATACAAGCCGTTGTGCTTTGGCCTCTTTTATAGAATTCAAATATACAAGCACAACAAAGAAGAAAGAATTGCCAGAACTTGGGGAACAACAGCCCCTGGCTTACCATATGTGGAGGAGGTAATCAACCCTGCTGGGAATTGGCTCATTGGTGGTGATCTGGAGGTCTTCAAACCTATAAAATACAATGATGGTCTTGACCACTACAGGCTTTCGCCCCAACAACTTCGCAAAGAGTTTGATAAGCGTCAAGCTGATGCTGTGTTTGCCTTTCAACTTCGCAACCCTGTTCACAATGGGCATGCATTATTAATGAATGATACGCGTGGGCGCCTTCTTGAAATGGGTTACAAAAACCCCATATTATTGCTTCATCCTTTGGGTGGCTACACCAAGGCAGATGATGTGCCCCTAGATGTTCGTATGGAACAACACAGTAAGGTCAGTGCTAAACCATGAGACATAATATCTCTGATATGAAAAGTATACTATGATTCACTGGACGAAGTGAAACCGTGGTCCATTGAGGTCATCGTCCTCTGATGAAATGATGGGTGGTGAGGTAAAGAGTGTGACAAACAATTCATTTCACTTCATTTCACATCATGTTGATGACTCAAAGGTACTATGATTTTTACATTGTCCATTGGACTTGTATATTCTTTTCCGATTTAATCAACACTATTTTCAGAATTTATATAATTTGCTGTATCTTGAAGACTGATTATTGTTTTCATTGCTTGCATACTCTTTAAGGATTTTCAACAATTTTGTCTTTTCACTTATATTCATTAGGTTCTTGAAGATGGTGTGCTTGATCCTGAGACTACAGTTGTGGCTATTTTCCCATCACCCATGCATTATGCAGGTCCTACTGAAGTGCAGTGGCATGCGAAGGCAAGGATTAATGCTGGGGCTAACTTTTATATCGTTGGTCGTGACCCTGCTGGTATGAGTCATCCTACAGAAAAGAGGGACTTGTATGATCCTGATCATGGGAAATTGGTTTTGAGCATGGCTCCGGGCTTGGAGAAACTAAATATTCTACCATTCCGGGTATGCATGCCATTTTACTAGTTAAATTGTTTTTAGTAAGTTTTTTTCTTTTCGGGTTTGTAGTTATTACAAGTTATGTTCATTAATCAGATTAAATGTGAACTTAACCATAGACTCTAACTTAAAGATGGCCATGCAGCAAACTTGGGCAGGAAACTTGGATTTAATCCATATTTTCTTAGAAATATTGAAGAGTTTCTTGGAAACAAAATCATTTATTACTGAAGCAATCGATCTTTGGTCTCTTCACAAAACGAAGTATGTTATTGTTGTGGGCATCTGAACAATATTACACATCGTACTTTTCTATGTGCCTATTGTGTATTTAAGTGATTGGTTATCTAAAATTGTGGTACCTCTGAAGTTGTGGCTCTTAATTCACTCGAAAAAAAAAAGTTGTGGCTCTTGAATGCTTATTTTATATCTTTTTCGCTTTTGAATGTTAACTTGGGGACCTGTTTGGAATGAAACTCAAGACGCCCCCATGACCACCTATGCTTGCGCTCATTCCTCATATTCATCTTCTTTCAATTTGTACCTTTTAATTTGGGTCAATTTAGCAGTATAATTAGTGGAAACTTCATTTGCTGTTATGTTCATGGGGCTTTAGTCGATTTCTTTAGTAGAAAAACTTGTAACCCTCTCTGTCCAAACTCCCTGTGCCTTCCCTTTCTCTTATCTCAGGTCTGGGGTAGAAGACCATGTCAATGGGTCGCGCTACCTGCAGTGGGGGCATCAGGAGAATTTGGGTGATCTGGAATCCCCAGGAACATTCCTGGTCTCCTCCCATTTAGGGGAATTCTCTGTTTCTCTTCTTCTGTCTCGCACTCTCCGCCCTTGTTTCTGGTCCGAACTTAAAATGGTTGCCTCTCTTCCTTATCCTGTCTGGTGTCTTGAGGGTGACTTCAATAACACTAGATGGTCTTTTGAGAGAAACTCTAACTCTTCCATTTCTCAAGGTATGAATGATTTCTCGGATTTGATTTCTCAGCATTACCTTCTTGATATACCTCTTCAAGGCTGTCGGTTCACTTGGTCCAACCACTCTCGTCAACCCTGTCTGTCCAAACTTGACAGATTCCTCTTCTCTGTGGATTGGGAGGAAACTTTCCCGGGTTCCCATGCTCAGGCCTTGGCCAAAGTCACCTCCGACCATTGCCCTATTCTCCTTGATACCCAAGCCCTCTGTAGAGGCCTTAAACCCTTTCATTTTGAATTACCATGGCTGGAAGAGAAGTCCCTCCTTACCCTCATTTCTGTCTGGTGGAATTCCTTTTCTAGTCAGGTCTCTGGCAGGGCTGGTTTTCGACTCCAAACTAAAATCCAGAGGCTTAAAGCTGCTTTGAAGACTTGGAGTAAATCCATTCCTGGGAATTACTGCCATAAGGCCTCACTCATTGAATCTATTCTAGCCCTTGATAGGACAGAGGAATCAAGACGTCTGATAGAAGCCGAATTCGATTCTAGAAGTCAATTGAAGTCGGAATACCTCTCCACCCTCAAAAAAGAGGAACTTTATTGGTTTCAGAGATCTAGAGTTAAATGGCTAAAAGCTGGAGACCTCAACACACAGTTTTTTCACCAGATAGCAAATTGCCGTAGGAGAGACAACACTATCTCCACCATTAAAGTGAGTAACTCTTACCTTGTCCAGCCTGATGACATAGAACATGCTTTTCTCCCTTATTTCCAAGCCCTTTATACCGCCCCTGTCGCTCCCAGACCTGCAATGGCGGACCTGAAATTTCTGTCTCTAACAGATGCACAGTCCCTTGGGCTTGATCGTCCATTTCTGGAAGAGGAAATTCTAAAAGCACTACATGATTTAGCTGGAGACATCGGCCCCGGTCCTGATGGTTTCCCCAGTGCCCTCTTCAAATTATTCTGGGATACCTTCCGCTTAGATTTCTTGAGTTTCTTTGATGAATTCTTTCACCAGGGAATTCTACATATCGCTATTAACGCTACTTTTATTGCTCTGGTACCAGAGGTGGAAGGGGTTGAGGAGCTCAAGGATTTTTGTCCAATTAGTCTGTTGAACTCCTCCTACAAAATCCTGGCCAAAGTCTTGGCTTCAAGATTGCAGTAGGTCCTCCCTTCCATTATCTCCCAATCTCAATCAGCCTTTGTCAAAGATAGACAAAACTTAGATGGAGCATTACTAGCCCATGAGTGCATTCGCTTTAGGCACTTGTCAAAAAAACCGGGGCTCATTTTCAAAATTGACTGGGAGAAAGCCTATGACCATGTAGACTGGACCCTCTTGGATGAAACCATGAGAAGAATGGGTTTTAGAGTTCGGTGGTGGAAATGGATGACAAGTTGTCTTTCTAATCCCCAAAGCTTTCTTTCCTTCCAGCAGGGGGTTGTGCCAAGGGGACCCTCACTCCCCATTCCTCTTCACAATTACGGCTGAAGTCTTTAGCTGGTCCATCTCCCGCCTCTTCCAGGCTGGCCTTCTCTCGGGTTTCCAAAGCTCCCGTCGAGGACCTGTTGTGTCACATCTGCAATACGCAGATGACACACTAGTCTTTTTAGATGCCTCTCCACAAGACGTTGAAAAGTTGAGATTGTATCTCAAATGCTTTCAAGAGGCCATTGGCTTTAAATGGAAAAATCTACAATGATGGGGGTCCTCATTTCGACTGCTAACATTAAGGATTTGATCCCGACTTGGGAATGCAAAGTGGACGAACTCCCCACTGTGTATCTCAGATTGACCCTAGGCCTTGGTAAACCCAAAAAGAGGCACTGGTCACATGTTATTGACAAGGCCGACCGGCGCTTGGCGGGTTGGAAAGGCAGATACCTTTCCCAGGCAGCCCGCTCCACTTTAATAGAAGCAACTCTTGCCAACGCTCTGGTCTACCTTATGTCACTTTTCCAAATTCCATCCTATGTGGCAAATCGGCTTGAACAATTAATGAGGAATTTTCTGTGGTCGGGCCAAGCGGAGCAATCCAAGTTTCACCTAATCTCTTGGAATAAAGTTTGCCTACCTAAGCAGCAGGGGGGACTAGGTATCAAGATACTTCGAAAACATAATCAGGCCCTCCTAGGTAAATGGTGGTGGGGCCTCGCTACGCAGACTGACTCCCTATGGGTCCAAGTCATGCGCCACAAATATAATATTACTGAAGGAACATGGGTGCCAGATAAGAAAAACATCAACAAGGCCTCAAGCACGTGGAAATCTTTCACTTCATCCCTCTCATTATTTAGGACTTTCATTTCACTCAAGGGAGGGTACAAGAGTGTGCTTTGGTCGGATACTTGGCTTGGTCACACTCCTTTTAGGGAACTGTACCCATGCCTTTATTCCATAACCTCCAATAAAGAAGTAACAGTCGTTGAAGCAATGACAATAGTGGGAAAGGGAAGGGAGTGGAACCCTTCCTTCAGAGGAAATCTCTCCGATGAGGAAATCTCACTTTTTCTCTCTTTTCAATGCTCTTCAAAACTCTTTCATCCCCACCCATTGGAGGGATCAATTGGTCTGGTCCCTCACTCCCTCTGGGACTTTCACGGTGGCATCTTTCTATAAAAGACTTATACAACAACCCACTTTCCCTCTCAACCCTCCCTCGGTGTTATCTAATGTATGAAGCACTATCGCACCCCCCAAAGTGAAGTGCTTAAACTGGATAGCAGGTTCTCAGAGGGCCCTTACGGTGGATCACCTTCAAAAAGAGGAATTCCAATTCCCAACAGATGTGTCCTTTGTCTCCGCGAAGAAGAATCTAACCCACATCTCTTTCTACATTGCAACATGGCTCACAGCCTTTGGGGGCAAATGTTACAGCTATGTGGTGTCCAATGGGTCCTGCCAGCGACAGTCAAGGAATTGTTACCTCTTGACCCCGTTCTTCACTGGCTTAAGGCAGGGAGAACAATTTGGAAAGCCGCAGTGGCAGCTATTATTTGGACAATCTGGAATGATAGGAACTCTAGGAATTTCCAAGGAATAGCTACCGAAGGTCCAACCTTGTTCCATAAAGTTACATCCTTAGTAACTTTTTGGGCTTCCAATCACCGTATCTTTGCAGGTCTCCCTGCTAGTGCTTTTCTCTACAACTGGAAAAATATAATGGTTCACCGTCCTCGCAAGGCTCACTGACCCCATCTATGGCAACCCCCCACCCAAGGTACCATTAAACTTAATTTCGACGGGTGCTCCTTTGGAAACCCTGGTCGTGCTGGGGCGGGAAGAGTGCTCAGGGACCACCGTCGGGCAATTTTGTTACCTACTCTGAATACTTGGGCATCTAAGACTCTTAGCATGCTGAGGCAATGGCCCTCCTATTGGGATTGAAAAGCTTCAATCCGTCATGGGGGCAAAATCTTACTGTGGAAGGGGACGCTAGTAACATTATTTCTTGGGCATCAGGGGGCTCCTCCCCTCCTTGGTATCTTGCTCCCATTTTTGATGAGATCGCTGACATTTGCAGAGCTATGGACGTGTCATGGATGCATACCTTGAGGACGTCAAACGACTTGGCTGACCTGCTAGCAAAGGACGGGGCCAGAGCTCACACACAAGACACAAAAGGTTAAAGGAACAACAGCTTTTGGCCATCTAATTTTGTCTTTTATCACACAATTTTCTGTACAAAGGGGC